AGCTGCTGTCCGCGGTGCTGAACCCGGCCCCTCCCGCCTGCGGCACCCTCTGCTCCGCGGGCTAAACCCGAGCCCCCCGCCCCCCGCCAAACTCATGTCCCAGGGGACCCCGGGAAGGCAAGGGGGCCCCGCAGAGGCGGCTGAATTTCAACTGCAAACTGAACGGGTTGGGGGCTAAAGAAGTGGGCTTTAAGGGGGTAAAATGCTCTTCCCACTCCCATGTTCCCCCAGAAGTGGTGGCAAGGCTGGGACAGGAGAACAAAGTCGAGCTAAGTATGACTATCTGGGTCCAGACTAGACCTCTCCAATGAAGGGTGGGTGCATGCACCCCCACATCCAGACTGCAGGCATGGCACAAATGACAAATGGTACAAGGTCTCCTACTCCAGCTACATGTGGACATGTCGGTGAAAGCCCTAGGGCTTGAGATGCTTGTTTAAGGTATTGGTCACAAACACTGGCAGAGTAGGGCTTTCAAGCTTGAATGGATGTCTTTATACTCTAGTGTCAGAGTCCCAGCTCTGCATGTTTATACAGCACTAATCACAATGGTCCTATATATGAATTGAGGTTTCTCTATAGAACCAGACTGGATTCATCAGCCAGTGTGATAGTTGAAGTATAGGCAGAGCTTACATTACAGCTTTTCACAGAGTTGCAGAACCAGAATGGATGGTTCTGGCTCTCCAGGTGGTGAAATCATAGAATCATAGAATGGTTAGGGTTGGAAGGGACCTTAAAGATCATCTAGTTCCAACCCCCCTGCCGTGGGCAGGGACACCTTCCACTAGACCCGGTTGCTCAAAGCCACATCCAGCCTGGCTTTGAAGACATCTTCAAGATGTCTTTCAAGAAATGTCTTTCCCCAGCTGCTGGACACTGCAATATCATCTTGAAACCATGCTTGGAGCAGGCCCAGGAAGGCCTCACCCATGGCTTAAGTAAGCTTTGCTGAGACATCCCAGAGGCCTGCTTTCAGCTCTTTTGGGGACCTCTAGGAGTGCAGGATGAGATGTCTCAGACTGGGTGCTGCAGTTTAAGGGGCTATGCAAGGACTGGAGCACAGTGTGTCATCCTTTCCCATGGACACAGGCATTTCCTCCCTGCAGAAGATAGGGATTTCCCACCCCAAGAAAAGGCTCACCCCTCTCTCATGCAGCCCCTGGGGTGGGTGCTTTAAAAGGTCATGGCTGATCACCACAAACAACCTGTCCATTTTTGACCCGTTCCCATTGTGAATATCTCCACCCTGTATAATCACAGTGTTATTAATTTGAGATGGATGCCACATGAATATTTCTGTTTATTTGCATTAAGTGGTTACATTTGAACATTAAAAAAGTCCTTTCTGCCAACTGCCAGCATGGTTTAAAGCAGTGAAGAGACAGGTTTTAAAAGAATGTACTCCTGTGGAGTCCCCTTATGCACAATCCAGCTTCCAACAATTTCTGCATCCTTTGGGGAATAAACCTACTCCAAGGCTGCTGTCATATCTAGGCATCTTAAGACACCCAGAGGAGACCACCTCCCTGTGTAACCTCTGCTGACAATTCCTCCCTCCGTGACCATCATTGACCTTGGCCAAGGTCACTGCAGAGAAAGAAGGCCTCATAAAAGGACTTCTTTGGTCACCTGAAATAGAGCTAGAGATTGGGACATCAAAAAATGTGATCATAGCAGTATAGAAGAGAGGAAGGTTTCTTAAAAGGGTAGCTTGGGATAGGTTAGTCAGGGTAGCATAGAAAAACTAGGAGTATGCAAAGGTAAAGTAATCAAGTCTTTGCTGTACATTTCTAGGTAATTACATACATCGAGATGTGGGTTTTTTTAATATCAGTTTCACTTTAAAGCTCCATGATCTCGTCTGGGTGAGTGATACTCAGCCCGTGCAAGGCAGCATTTTTTTGAGTTGGATCCCACCTCAAATGGACATGTGTGTGGGCTTTTAATTCTGATTGACCTGTGTGTTTACTTTACAAAGAGGAATTACACTGGACAGATAATGCAAAAAGCATTTTGTTACACAACTTTAATTTTCTTTAGTATGGCAATAAGAAGTCACCCATTAAGAAGTACTATTTAAAATGTAACTTATTTGTGCTATTTAAAGCACATATGCACAAGCTAATTTATTCTGCAAGAAAATCTACTTTCCATATATTTCCTCTGCTTTTAAAATACTGAGCATTTAACTTCTCATCTTTCAGTCTTATTGAACATCTATGTTATGTTGCTTTGGCTGAAGTTTTTGCTCCTCTAAACCTGTATTAAGGGACACAAAAAGACATGTGGCATCAATACTCTTTACTTGCACATAAAAGACAACCATGAATTCTGAGTCCTCAATATTATTATAGATTTACTTCTGCTGTCACTCATAACAGCAGCCAGCAACAGAGGAGCTTGGAAAGCTGTCTGAGGATTAGTTTGAAAGACTTCATCCTTGGGATGAATTTTTCTCTTTGTGGTACACAGTTATCTTATGGGTCCTATTATATTAAGAGAGAAAAATATGGGCTACTTTCACACTGAAAATACATGTCAAGTAGGACTGAAAGATCTACACAAACATTGTCATGAGAAAAAAGGGGAGAAAAAAGGGAAGAATAAAGATACAGAGATAAAAAAGCTTACTTCAAAGCACCAAAATGATACCACTTTGCATAAGTATATGCCTATTGAAAAGGATTACAGCTGGTATCCTTAGATTAATGTTATTATTCACCATAAATATAATGAAAACAGCTGTACTTTCTATCTTCCTAAAGGATGATGCTTACATTAAATCTTCATAGATTTTCAAACTATAAATACAAGAGTAGTACAATACTAGGTATGAGATTTGTGGATTTTCAAATCCCTCTTCATCTTTGGATCTTCTAACAGAAATGTGACTCCTGAATCATGTTAGTATCATGATGCAGAATTGTTTCAAGCTGGGAAGAGTTGCCTTGTTCCATTCAGTTCCAATGTACAAGTGCTGAACTTCTTCTTCCTTCAACTAGGGAGCTACAGGGAGGCATTATACAATGTGGACCAGTCTAAGAGGGCATTCAACAGCCTTGAGTGAATGTTAATGGATAAAATACAGGAAGAGATTTCTGAACAGGAAAGCTCTCCTCTCTCAATGTCTCAGCCATTGGGTTAAGCTTGAAATCACCCTTGCTTCCATTTGCTGTCTCAGTGGAGCTATACTCCAGGAAGAATAAAAATATTTTAACAAAAAACAAACAAACAAAAAAAACCAACCACGCAACACCCAAAGAAACAAAGGAGATCAAAGCTCAAGGGGGAGAAAGAAGGAGATTCCTAAAAGTATCATGTCTTAGGAGCAATCCTGAAAAACCTCATGTTTGCCTTTGAATACACTGAGACTGAGCCACACCTAACCCAGGTCTTTGGTGGGGAATATAGCCACAGATACAGTGAGTTAGGAGTTGGAAGGTTCTGATGTCTCCAGCTGCATTGTAGGAACCATCTCTCTATTTCCAAGGTATTGGTATCCACCTTCTGGGTTGTGAGTACAGAAACGTAGGTGACACCTTGTAGCAATGCTGAATAAAGCACTCTCAGAGGACACACACAACACAAGGTAGCCTTCACATGTTGCCCTTCTACAGTGAGTAGCTGAGTATGTCCCTTAAGAGGGGTTTCCCTTTTCTGTAAGCTGGCTGGTCCTGAACCACCTCTGAATCCATGATCTTACACAACATTACCTGAATCACCTCTGAATCCATGATCTTACAAAACATTACAGCCAGCACAGCTCTGAGACTGGACTAATAAGGTCTTGATGCCCTGTTAAAAGTCTGCATGGTTTCCTGCTTGCACAAAGTTTTGACAAAATGACCTCACATCCAACTGCAAAAAGGCACATACAGACATAACTCTCCTCTGAAGGGGATTTTTGGTGCAAATCAATGACACGTCACAGCATACAGCATTCCTTGCATGCACCAACCTTTTTAGATCAGTGCTTATGTAAATACAGTATATTTATTCAGGGTGACAAGGCTTTGTTAATGGGGCTGCAGCATACTTGCTGCCTTTTCTGCTGGCATCTTTGCTTTATATCAATGGCAACATCACAATTTTTGGAGAAAAGAAGATTTATTTCAGGATAGAGGTGCTTGTGTGTAAAAGTAAAGGTACAGAGGGCGAAGCAGTCTATGTATACCCCCTGAAAGGTGTAGAGTTTGGGACTGCCTGGGAACATTGCATAAATGTGAGGGACTGAAGAGAGAATGACTGTGGGAGAAAGGGAGGTGGATTGGCCTGTTAGTCACTGCCAGACTGTCCCTGCGCCCAGGGTGTCAATGAAGCCTCACAGATGCAGCAGCCTGTAGCTCTGCATGGTGGAGATCTCCTTCTGCTAATCTTTGGCACAAGAGGTATGGAGACTTTGCCCGGATTCCCAGAACTCAGGTTGGTTTTATGCATTAGTGAGAAAAAATGGATTAGTGTCTAAAGGTTAAAAGAGTCAGGGGTCACCTGCAGGTGTGTCTTTCTCTACTAATCTATAGTAATTAAGATATATAACATAAGCATTCATGCAATACACAGGAAGATAATAGATTAAGGCTAGATGAACTCTGGCATTTGCACATGGCATCTTCTAGTTAGTAGCCAGTGATTAGCAAGTTACAGTGAATCTTCATTTTATCTTCTGGAGGGCATTGCAGAGGATCCCCATCTCACCTGCAAAGGAAATAATCAGAACAATTAATCTTACAGCTAGCCCATTTCTAACCTATCTGTATATATTTACTCTTCATATCCATTCCCTGAAAGAGTAAGGTGAAAAAAGAAGTGATGGATTGGACACATTTATTAGGGTCTTACTGGAGCAAGGTCTGCAGAGTCAGCTCTTGGCCTTCATCAGCCATACAAGAATGGCTTACAGGACCAGGGGTGCTGGCTCTCAGCAGGCCAGCCAATGATAGTTAGGAAACATGAGGAAAAGGACTAGAAAGGCAAAAGGAAATAGAACTAAAACCAAGCTGGTCTTTTTCTTCCTTACTGAGAACAGCTAGAGTCACACATCGAAATCTGTCACAAGACCCTCTGGTCTTTCCTTGAACCTCCACTAAAACTGGGTATTTCAGATGTAACAATCTGCAGCCAAGTAGAAATGTCATTTTGAAGCTTGGCTAGAATTTAGAAGCAATTTTTGCACCAGAAAGGAGATGTGATCTAGCTCAGGTTCAGAGCATTAAATGCAACCAGAAGAAATCTGCTTTGCGTTTGTTATTTCTGACACAAGTTTTGAGGAATTCGAGGTAACAAATCTGTAGTTCCTTACTATTGATAGTGTCGGCTAAGTTCTTCAGCTGCTTTGCATTGTCCAGGACTTCAATCCTCTGGGTGTAGGGATTGTACCGAACAGAGAAAGGGCGCGGGATTGTCTGAGCAAATTTCCTGAGGCAAAATACAAAAACACATACAAACTTGAAAAGCTACTTTTTTTTCAGTAACTC